TGTACAGGCCTGATGTTACAGACCATGTCAACATTAGCAGGAAATTCATTTATTTATTCTCAAGTATTATAATATATATTGTAAACACATATCAAATAATCATACATTTTCTACATCAATAAAAAAGTTTCAAAAGAATTATTGAATTTTTTTCTTCAACCAGCAACTTAGATATGAGCAGTACTAAATGAAGCAAATGTTTGGCAAGACTACATTATGCGCAGAACAGAATCATTCTTGTTAAGAAACTGAACACTCCCTAACTAAACCATTCATCCTGCAACAGCCTATGCTGGTTCGGTGAAGTTCTGTTGTATCTGTTAAAGAAGTCAGACTGCACAGTCATTCATTTGCAATCTCTTCAAATTGTTTACCTATCAAATGTTAAAAGTTTTTTTACGTTTATATTTATTTTAAGACCAATGGATGATACTTGTGATGGGCTATTCAACAACAACAATGGCACAGACAAGTTCATTCAACCCTGCAAAGTTGACACTCCTTTATATTTCATTGGCAGTTAACAAGCATTGTGTGAAACTAGTTCTTCACTGTAAAGTCGGTCATTGTCGTGAGACAGTTTTCTATGTCTAAATACTTTCATAAAGAGATCTAAAGCAAACTACATTGTTGACTTAATAAGACTTCATTCTTTGTAATGAAATCTGATATGTTGCCAAAAGAAAACACTCTTTTAAAATACCCTCATTTGAATTACAATAGTAATGGCTGATTTAATTATGTATGTGACAGTTCTAATGAAAACTAAATATATAAATGTGAGTCATCTTAACTTTTTATTTCTTCTTGTTTCAACAAGTCAAGTAAACAGTAAGCTATACGTGACAATCAGAATCAGGGGGTGACCACATGTATATGATAGCTATAGTCAAGGTCTAGTTATAAGTTCAATGCTTTGAGGGAAATAAAATCCAATGTTGAGCTAAACAGAAAACATCAACATGTCCTAATAGTCCTATAAATTGTCCATTTTATATTAAATATTTCAATCATTAAAATATATATTATGATGTTCTTGAATATATATACTCAGTAAGCAGGTTTCGTGATGATAACACTTTAATAGAACACCGGATTTTAAATTTGATGGTGTTGTTGTAACTGCCACCACTGTTGCTGAACATTATAAACACCTACCTAGGTATGTCTCACTGTGCAACTGGTTGTATGACAGACAAAAATGAATATTTTTGTAAGAGAGAGATATTAGATACTGACATTTATAATCATGGTTTTTCCCAAAGACATAATTTTATAATGAAAATATTTTTTAATTTACTTCAGGAATGTTGATTCTTTCTAGCTTTAAAAAAATTAAGTAGCAAAACAAAGCATTGAAAAGAGGGAAGGATATAAAGACTACACATAACCATATACACTGTGATAAAGTTTCATGGGTATACGGGAAAAGCTCTGAAGCAGAACTCTTCTTTGAAATCAGAACTTTTTCCAGTGATACAAACCACCTTAAGTGAAATTGAAGGTTTAGGTCATTCTGAAGGTTTCGGCCAATCCCTAAGACATACATACTACAGCTTAAATGGCTGGTCAATGGAACTACTTCATAACAAACAATATCAAGGATAAGTCTAAACCTGTTGTTCAATATGAATACTTTAATAAATAATAATTGAAGCCATCCAAACAATATCTTACCACAATTTCATCATTAACACTTTAGAACAATAATTTACAAACCTCATATTGATGTGTAAGTAGCTGTACTCTGACTGTACCACTTAAGGAGTTTCTATGGCTTTATTTTTGTACTCTGACTATACCACTTCGGGAGTTTCTATTGCTTTATTTTTGTACTCCGACTTTACCACTTCGGGAGTTTCTATTAGTTTATTTTTGACCTCTGACTTTACCACTTCAGGAGTTTCTATTGCTTTATTTTTGTACTCTGACTATACCACTTCGGGAGTTTCTATTGCTTTATTTTTGTACTCTGACTGTACCACTTCGGGAGTTTCTATTGCTTTATTTTTGTACTCCGACTTTACCACTTCGGGAGTTTCTATTAGTTTATTTTTGACCTCTGACTGTACCACTTCGGGAGTTTCTATTGCTTTATTTTAGTACTCCGACTTTACCACTTCAGCAGTTTCTATTGCTTTATTTTTGTACTCTGACTTTACCACTTCAGGAGTTTCTATTGCTTTATTTTAGTACTCCGACTTTACCACTTCAGGAGTTTCTATTGCTTTATTTTTGTACTCTGACTATACCACTTCGGGAGTTTCTATTGCTTTATTTTAGTACTCCGACTTTACCACTTCAGGAGTTTCTATTGCTTTATTTTTGTACTCCAACTTTACCACTTCAGGAGTTTCTTTTGCTTTATTTTAGTACTCCGACTTTACCACTTCGGGAGTTTCTATTGCTTTATTTTAGTACTCCGACTTTACCACTTCAGGAGTTTCTATTGCTTTATTTTAGTACTCCGACTTTACCACTTCAGGAGTTTCTTTTGCTTTATTTTAGTGTTTCTAAATAACATGCATTCTTTACTCAACTGTAACATTTTCAATCTAAAAAATGTGCAGCATTAAACGAAGACCCATCATGAACTGACTGGCCTCTTAGTGTGGCCACTTTTCAACAATGACTAGATGTGGTTTGGAATGGTTCATATAACTAAGTGTTTGCACGACAGAAAAAAGCAGGCAATGGTTGGAAGTGAGATGGAATTCCATCAACGGTCAAGTCACTTCATCTGTACACAAACCAGGAATGTCGTAGTTGGTCGTATGAACATTTCTAGAAAGATCAATGTTGACAGTGTCGAGAATGACAGAAAGATCAATGTTGACAGTGTCGAGAATGACAGAAAGATCAATGTTGACAGTGTCGAGAAAGATCAATTTGTGAACTTCAACTAATGTTAGTTAAGGATGTACTCCTTTGACCGAAAGACATAAATCAATACAAATGAATACTACCCTAATATCTTGGGCAGCAGGTGATTTATATGACGTTTTGAGAAATTTTGCTACTGGACTACATTTTTTGGTGGCGTAGTTGACAATGCGATACAGTTCATACCGTCAACAATTTCAACATTTCCTGGTTGCTAAGGTAGTTTACTAAAAGGAGATGCAATAAAAAGCAACAATGATTTTGTTTGATAACTCAAGCTATTGCACGAAAATAATCAATTTATACGAACCTAGATCAATTTAAACATTTTTTGGTTGTTAAAGTTATTCTCATGTGTATAACTCTGGATGTCTTGGGTAGATTTCAACTAAATTTTGCATGAATTATTACCACAAATCACCAATTTCAAATTCCTTTCAAAAAAATTACCATAAACATAAAAGTTAAATTCTGGAATTTTTTCACTTCTCAGAGGAGCATGTCCTTAATGACAATCAAACACACTGTTCAATCAGTTTAAAAGTTTATCACATACTAAAACTTTGTGATCTAAAAAGTAAAATCTGCAGCTCTTTATTTCAGGCCAAATCAATATTCTGTTAATTGAGACACCATCTAAATGAACAAGGTAAAGGATGATTGGGCTGATCATAGACTTACAGTCATAAAGATTATCTAATCAAGGTTAAATCTCATTAACGGTCTGACACCTGTTAATCCTAATATCACGACTTACAACAAATCCTGCCCTATTTATATCCATTCTCATGCTGTACTTGCACGCTCTTGATTTTACAGAGGTTATCAAGGTCATTTTCTTTCAGTAGACCTTTTAAATTCCTAGACGATGTCATCAGTTGATTGTCCATTGTTAGCCAGTCAAGTGATTCCTTGTTCACTAATTTAGGTTAACAACACCAAACCAGAAAACTTTTTCAGGTTGGAATAACCATTCTTCTCTGTCATATCAATTAGGATTTTAAATTTCAAATATTTTTTTTTTCTTTTTTTAAATCAAAAAGAAAACCGTTAGAATATATAAACGGAGAAATAATTGTAATTGACATCAACTTGCACACCAGACAATTCATAGGTAAAAATATATTTACCTTTATCATAGGTAAAAACATATTTACCTTTATCATAGGTAAAAACATATTTACCTTTATCATAGGTAAAAATATATTTACCTTTATCATAGGTAAAAACATGTTTACCTTTATCATAGGTAAAAATATATTTACCTTTATCAGTCTTCTGGAAACAAGCATATTACTATTCTTAAACTTTAAATATAAAAATCCTAAAGGAGTGGGAGAGAACTAACATCCTGGTTATCTACAGTTGTATATCGGATCATGAAGGAATCAACAATTGATACTCAACAATATTCAATACAGCCCCATCAAAGAACGTATACACAAACAACATAGACTGCGTGGTTTTATCATTGGTTTACATGCTTCAGCAATCTAGGCTAACCATCATCAGAACAACAGAATAAGTATTCACAAAGGTAAGGTTAAAATTACAGTAGTGATAGAAATACAATAGTTTTTTTTATAGTTTTATTGTTAAGTTACGTCAGAAGAGATTACATCAAAATGAGTCACATTCTCAACACATGGTAAAGTTAAAAGAATAAACACGAGTGTTGTTAAAGTTGTTACCTTGTTAAGTATGCTGAAAGGACATCGAGGCTATCGTAGCAAACATAAAGGCTTTGAAATGTCAATATATCTACTGTGATCAAACATCACGTGCAAAAAAGTGTTTGAAATGACCATCAACTTTTCTGCCGTCCTCAATCATACATCTATATTATATTATATCCTCTCCTCAACAACTACTTTAATTTCAAAAAAATTGATTTTCAAATCTCAGTCTTAATATTTATAATTCTGATATGAAAATGACGAAAAATTAAGTGATTTGAGAATTTACACTGGTCAAGAAGTCGTCCTTTAACAGGCTGACCAGCATAACCTCGGCGTGTTGTGGAACCAATCACGTTAACTGTAAAAATGATCAACTGTTTCAAACCATGAATATAAAATTTACTATTAATTAAGAAAACAATTTGGTTATAACCTTACCTTAGAATGGCTCCGTGTTTTGTTTCCTCCCCCAAAACAAAGTGTGACTGACCTGTCTGTCTACCTGAAAAAAGCATTAAAGCAATAGAAGAATTACTTGATGCGTGTAGGCGCTGTCACAAACAGATCATTCAAGCTTTTGTGAAAGTTCAAGATATCTACCTTGTATTTCTTTAGGCTGTGTAGCACGCTGTTTGTCCTATATTATACACATGTTTTGCCAGCTAAGACTGGTATGTACACATCAGGGATTCCCCTCCACAAATATAACACAATATTGATTATCGTTAAGGTGGCTCATTCATACTGTTTTCTATTGTACCAGTCGGTACTTTAAAGGTCCATACCTCTTAAATTTGTAATCATTCAAAGCTCATAAAGACCAGTTTGTGCATGAAATATACTATATTGATAAGTTACCCAATACAATCATATTGAATTTGTATGACTAGTAAAGGTTTCTGTGAGCGGTCAGTATTTCATGGTGTAGCTGATTGTTCAGTGTTTGGTTAGAGCAATGACATTTTTACCACTTCACAATATCTTTCAAATTTATGTACTTAAGTAAACACTTTATATGATGAAAAATTTTTTAAAAATATCTAATGCTACTTATGTTACCTAACAAACAGAAAAACATTACATTACCTAGACAACAGATCAACTTTTTATGTTACCTAGATGACACATAAACTTTTTATGTTACCTAGACAACAGGTAAACATTGTTAATTTACCAAGACAACTGGAAAAGTTTACCTATCTAGACAACTGATAAACTCTGTTATGTTACCTAGACAACTGGAAAATTTTACCTTACCTTGACAAAAGATAAAGTTTGTTATGTTACCTTGACAACAGATAAGCTTGGTTATGTCACCTAGACAACAGGTAAACTTTGTTATGTTACCAATAAAAATGAGAAAAATTTACCCCAACTAGAAAACAGGTTAAGTTTGTTTTGTTACCTGTACAACAAAGTAACATTTTAATGCGATCTTGACAAAAGACGTAGCTCTGGCTATTCAACCTTGACTACAGACATACCTCTGTCTAGGTTATCTTGACAACAGACGTACGTCTGGCTATTCAACCTTGACAACAGATGTACCTCTGTCTAGGTTATCTTGACAACAGACGTACATCTGGCTATTTAAACTTGGCAACAGACGTACCTCTGTCTAGGTTATCTTGACAACAGATGTACCTCTGGCTATTTAACATTGACAACAGATGTACATCTGGCTATTTAACCTTGACAACAGATGTACGTCTGGCTAATTGACCTTGACAACAGACTTATGTCTGGCTATTTAACCTTGACAACAGATGTACCTCTGGCTATTTAACATTGACAACAGACGTACATCTGGCTATTTAACATTGACAGCTATTTAAACATTGACAACAGACCTTGACAACAGACTTATGTCTGGCTATTTAACCTTGACAACAGATGTACCTCTGGCTATTTAACCTTGACAACAGACGTACCTCTAGTTAATTGACCTTGACAACAGACGTACCTCTGGCTATTTAACCTTGACAACAGACGTACCTCTGGCTATTTAACCTTGACAACAGACGTACCTCTGTCTAGGTTATCTTGACAACAGACGTACATCTGGCTATTTAACCTTGACAACAGACATACCTCTGGCTATTTAACCTTGACAACAGACGTACCTCTGTCTAGGTTATCTTGACAACAGACATACATCTGGCTATTTAACCTTGACAACAGACGTACCTCTGGCTATTTAACATTGACAACAGATGTACCTCTGCCTATTTAACATTGACAACAGATGTACCTCTGGCTATTTAACCTTGACAACAGATGTACCTCTGCCTATTTAACATTGACAACAGACGTACCTCTGGCTATTTAACATTGACAGCAGACGTACATCTGGCTATTTAACATTGACAGCAGACGTACATCTGGCTATTTAACATTGACAGCAGACGTACATCTGGCTATTTAACATTGACAGCAGACGTACATCTGGCTATTTAACATTGACAGCAGACGTACATCTGGCTATTTAACATTGACAGCAGACGTACATCTGGCTATTTAACATTGACAACAGACGTACATCTGGCTATTTAACATTGACAACAGATGTACATCTGGCTATTTAACATTGACAGCAGACGTACATCTGACTATTTAACATTGAAAACAGACGTACGTCTGGCTATTTAACATTGAAAACAGACGTACGTCTGGCTAATTGACCTTGACAACAGACTTATGTCTGGCTATTTAAACTTGACAACAGACGTACCTCTGGCTATTTAACCTTGACTACAGACATACCTCTGGCTATTTAACCTTGACTACAGACATACCTCTGGCTATTTAACATTGACAGCAGATGTACATCTGGCTATTTAACCTTGACAACAGACGTACCTCTGGCTAATTGACCTTGACAACAGACTTATGTCTGGCTATTTAACCTTGACAACAGACGTACCTCTAGTTAATTGACCTTGACAACAGACGTACCTCTGGCTATTTAACCTTGACAACAGACGTACCTCTGGCTATTTAACCTTGACAACAGACGTACCTCTAGTTAATTGACCTTGACAACAGACGTACCTCTGGCTATTTAACCTTGACAACAAACGTACCTCTAGTTAATTGACCTTGACAACAGACGTACCTCTGGCTATTTAACCTTGACAACAGACATACCTCTAGTTAATTGACCTTGACAACAGACGTACCTCTGGCTATTTAACCTTGACAACAGACGTACCTCTAGTTAATTGACCTTGACAACAGACGTACCTCTGGCTATTTAACCTTGACAACAAACGTACCTCTAGTTAATTGACCTTGACAACAGACGTACCTCTGGCTATTTAACCTTGACAACAGACGTACCTCTAGTTAATTGACCTTGACAACAGACGTACCTCTGGCTATTTAACCTTGACAACAAACGTACCTCTAGTTAATTGACCTTGACAACAGACGTACCTCTGGCTATTTAACCTTGACAACAGACATACCTCTAGTTAATTGACCTTGACAACAGACGTACCTCTGGCTATTTAACCTTGACAACAAACGTACCTCTAGTTAATTGACCTTGACAACAGACGTACCTCTGGCTATTTAACCTTGACAACAGACATACCTTTAGTTAATTGACATTGACAACAGACATACATCTGGCTATTTAACCTTGACAACAGACGTACCTCTGGCTATTTAACCTCGACAAAAGACGTAGCTCTGGCTATTCAACCTTGACTACAGACATACCTCTGTCTAGGTTATCTTGACAACAGACGTACGTCTGGCTATTTCACCTTGACAACAGACGTACCTCTGGCTATTTAACCTTGACAAAAGACGTAGCTCTGGCTATTCAACCTTGACTACAGACATACCTCTGTCTAGGTTATCTTGACAACAGACGTACGTCTGGCTATTTAACCTTGACAACACACGTACCTCTGGCTATTCAACCTTGACAACAGACGTATGTCTGGCTAATTGACCTTGACAACAGACGTACCTCTGGCTATTTAACCTTGACAACAGACGTACCTCTTGTTAATTGACCTTGACAACAGACGTACCTCTGGCTATTTAACCTTGACAGCAGACGTACCTCTAGTTAATTGACCTTGACAACAGACGTACCTCTGGCTATTTAACCTTGACAACAAACGTACCTCTAGTTAATTGACCTTGACAACAGACGTACCCCTGGCTATTTAACCTTGACAACAGACATACCTTTAGTTAATTGACCTTGACAACAGACATACATCTGGCTATTTTTAACCTTGACAACAGACGTACCTCTGGCTATTTAACCTCGACAAAAGACGTAGCTCTGGCTATTCAACCTTGACTACAGACATACCTCTGTCTAGGTTATCTTGACAACAGATGTACGTCTGGCTATTTAACCTTGACAACAGACGTACCTCTGGCTATTTAACCTTGACAAAAGACGTAGCTCTGGCTATTCAACCTTGACTACAGACATACCTCTGTCTAGGTTATCTTGACAACAGACGTACGTCTGGCTATTTAACCTTGACAACAGATGTAGCTCTGGCTATTTAACCTTGACAACAGATGTACCTCTGGCTATTTAACCTTGACAACAGATGTAGCTCTGGCTAATTGACCTTGACAACAGATGTACCTCTGGCTATTTAACCTTGACAACAGATGTACCTCTGGCTATTTAACATTGACAACAGATGTACCTCTGGCTATTTAACCTTGACAACAGATGTACCTCTGGCTAACCTTGACAACAGTTGTACCTCTGTCTATTTAACATTGACAACAGATGTACATCTGGCTATTTAACATTGACAGCAGACGTACATCTGGCTATTTAACATTGACAGCAGACGTACATCTGGCTATTTAACATTGACAACAGACGTACGTCTGGCTAATTGACCTTGACAACAGACTTATGTCTGGCTATTTAACCTTGACAACAGATGTACCTCTGGCTATTTAACCTTGACAACAGACGTAGCTCTGGCTAATTGACCTTGACACAACACGTACAACTGGCTATTTAACCTTGACAACAGATGTACCTCTGGCTATTTAACATTGACAACAGACGTACATCTGGCTATTTAACATTGACAACAGACGTACCTCTGGCTATTTAACCTTGACAACAGATGTACCTCTGGCTATTTAACCTTGACAACAGATGTACCTCTGGCTATTTAACCTTGACAACAGATGTACCTTGACAACAGATGTACCTCTACCTGGCTATTTAACATTGACAGACAGACGTACTGGCTATTTAACCTTGACAACAGACGTACCTCTGGCTATTTAACCTTGACAACAGACGTACCTCTGGCTATTTAACCTTGACAACAGACGTACCTCTGGCTATTTAACATTGACAACAGACGTACCTCTGGCTATTTAACCTTGACAACTACAGACTTACCTCTGGCTATTTAACCTTGACAACAGACGTACCTCTGGCTATTTAACCTTGACAACAGACGTACCTCTGGCTATTTAACCTTGACAACAGACGTA